AGCTCTTACTCCCAGTGCCATTCAACGTAATCTTTCATAATCTTTTGTTCCTTTTCTAGGAGAATAGATCACATGGTTTGTCCAAGCATCCCTCCCCCCTTTTTAAAACAAAAGTTCACTGCAAGTTCAAACGTAAGTTCAAATCATAAATTCAATAAGAAGTTTGCATATTCATTAAGAGCAATTATCTGGCTAAACATTCATTATCTGCCACGAGCTCAACAGGTTCATTAAAAGTTAAGAACCAGCCGGGCGGTGGTGGCGCACGCCTTTAATCTCAGCACTTGGGAGGCAGAGGCAGGTGGATTTCTGAGTTCGAGAGTTCGAGGCTAGCCTGGTCTACAGAGTGAGTTCCAGGACAGCCAGGGCTACACAGAGAAACCCTGACTCAAAAATAAACAAACAAACAAAAAGTTAAAAACCATAATTTTGTAACTAAGATAGTATTAAAGTTTTGTATAGATAACCCCAATTTTTTATTGTCTGTCCTTGCACCTATAGTAAACTGTTAGTTCCCTTTTTATTACCATTGGTTAATTGTTTTACAGTCTCTTGAAATGTGCTCTCAATTGTAGATGCCTGTTTGTTATCTCAGAAGCAATTAACTCTTGACACTTGAAGACTGGTAAAGTTCTCATTGCAATTTTGACATAAGAAAGGACTTAATGACAGTCCCATTATAAAAGATTTTAATAACTAATATAATTTCAGGAATTCTTATAGAGTCATCATTAAGAATTGAGAGATCACCGGGCAGTGGTGGCACACGCCTTTAATTCCAGTACTTGGGAGGCAGAGGCAGGTGGATTTCTGAGTTCCAGGCCAGCCTGGTCTACTGAGTGAGTTCCAGGACATCCAGGGCTACACAGAAACCCTGTCTTGAAAAAAACAAACAAACAAAAAAAACCAAAAAACAAAACAAAACAAAACAAAAAAAGACTTAAGAGATCATCTATTTATCTATATAGCATCACTACAAGACAGTACATCTTAGTTGTTCTGCAGAAATCTGCTCAAAAGGGTGGGCTAATACCTAGTGGTTGTTATATACATTTAATAAAAACAGGAAAAGCATATTAATAGCAGGAATCTTTACTAAAATGTAATCTTCTCTGCTTTGCCTAAAGAAGCAAAACCATCATAGATTTCCAGTCCATAGCAGAACCATCTCAGGAAGATCATCTGCTAGTTTTTAGCTTCTCCCAGATGGCTCCTTGCAGATAAGAGCTTGGCCTCTCTGCCTTCATCTTTCCTCCATTACCTTAAACTTTGGATCAGGTTCCTTCTCAGGTCTGTATGTTGTTGTAGGATATTTGATTATACTGTGAACTCCAAGATTATGTTATTTACTGGGAGGAAACCCCTGTTTTTAGTTGTGGTGTGGCTCAGCCTTAGCACACACCTTTAATCCAAAACTTTCTGCTTGAATATTGTAAACCAGATTAAATAAAATCAACCATAGGTCAAGAGACAGAGCAAGCAACCAGTTGACAGGAAGTGAAGGAAAGGCTCCCAAGTCTTTATTGGTAAAATTGGATGATTGAAATTTTGTTAAAAACAACAGTATGTAGACTTGTTGACCACTTAAGAACAGCATATCTAAAAAGTTCATTATCCAGGTCTAACTAGTCCTAAATTCACCTGCGTTCTCATTCCCCTTCGAGACTGAAGACAGCTAGATTAGAGCAATTAAGATCTCAATTAAGATCTATTTTTCTTGTATTATATATAGCTTAAATTTGTGTGTGTATATTTGTTTGTGTGTGTGTGTGTGTGTGTGTGTGTGTGTATGAGAGAGAGAGAGAGAGAGAGAGAGAGAGAGAGAGAGAGAGAGAGAGGGAGAGAGATCTCTATACACTCATGTCAAAGGTGTAGATGTCAAGGGTCAACTTGCAGGAAGCACTTCTCTCTTTCTACAGTATGGGTCCCAGGGATAAAACTCAGGTCATCAGCCTTGGTAATGAGCACCTTTACCCACAAAGCCATCTTACCAGCTAATGCTCATACTTTCTATGCCTTATGTAAAAAAATCTTTGCATGCCCAAGATACACAGATTTTCCTTCTCACTTTCTCCTAGAAGTTTTATAGATTTTTATTTATAGTTTATTTATAGTTTGTATTGAGTTCTATAAATTATATATTTTATTTATAGTTTATATTGAGTTCTGTAAATTATCTGAATTGATAAAATGAAATAGCTATACATTGCAAGGTTAGAACCAAAGGTCATTTTTCTTTCTTTCTTTTCTTTTCAAGACAGGGTTTCTCTGTGTAGCCTTGGCTGTTCTGGAACTCTCTCTGTAGACCAGGCTAGCTTTGAACTCACATAGATCCACCTGCCTCTGCTTCCCAAGTGCTGGGATTAAAGGTGTGTGTCACCACTACCAGGCACAAAGGCCATTTTTCTAACACCCTTTATTTTTTGTGGTACTGGGTATTAAACTAAGGCCCTCATGCCCACTAAATAAGAGTTCCACTATACTGAAGTACATTCCTAAGTCGTCATCACTAAATAAAGACTCTCTTTCCCCATTGGATTACATGAGTACTTTCATTAAAATCATCTGGCTGAATAGGTGTGGACCTATTTCCAGATTCCTTGTTCTGTTCCACTGACCTATATTTCTGCCCCAATGACAATACATCCTTGTATTGCTTAATGTATCATTTTAAAGTCTTGAAACCCATGTTGGAATTATTCATTCTGAGTCCTTTGATCTTTCTACATACATTTTAAAAGATTTATTTTATTTTTACTTCTGAGTGTATATGCAAACGCGTGTGCAGGTGCCCTTAGAAGCCAGATACTCTGGGACTAGAGTTATAGATGGTTCTGAAAAGCCTGGACATGGGTACTGGGAACAAAACTCTGTGAGAGCAGCAAGCACTCTTAATCACCAAGCCATCACTCCAGCCATTTTATCTGTGTGTTTACATACAAGTGTGTATTCAAGTATGTGTAGATACATGTGCTCAAGTGTTGAACATAGAGGCCAGACGTCACTCTTAGGTATTGCACCTCAGAAGCTGTCCCCTTTGTATTTTTGAGACAGAGCCTCTCACTGGATCTGGGGTTTGCCTGTTAGGCTGAGTTGCTGCCTAAGCAGTCCCAGAGGTCTACTGGCTTCTGTCTCTCTAGCCTTGGGATCATAGATGCATACCACCATGTCTGGCTTTTTATATAGGGCTGGGGAACTCATCATGGTTGCACACGCAGCAAAACTATACAAACTGGGCTATCACTAAAGCCCTCAGAATCTAAACTCCAAGAAGCCTGAAGCTTGAAAAATGTGAATAAATTTGTAAGTACAACACTACTGAATTGTAAGATTAGAAACCACAGTAATTGGGACAGGGTGGCATTGTACTTAAGAATATGTAGACAGATAAGTGAGGTGGAAAGTTCTGGTTCTTTGGAAAGTCAGTTACATCAAACGATGTTTTGCTGGGGTACACAGGTCAAGGGATGTCTTGCTAAAGCAGACACATGAAAGAATGTTTTCCTGAAGCAGACACGGGTGAAAGGATGTTTTCATGTAGCAAACACATGAAAGGACCTGCCATGAAGGAGTTTAAATGTGACCCTACAGACAGTAAGCACTGAGCATTCAAAAGTGACATGGATGGTTCGCCTTACATAGCACTGTTGATCTCAACTAATGATGCCACTGAGAGAAACTTGCCAAAGAATTGCTCATGAGGTTCCTTTGGCAGCTTGCTGCTTCTGCGGCCTCTCCTCAGGCTGGTTGGCAAGTCTTTCAGTTTCTTCAGGATTGAATTACAGCTGCTGGTTCAAGTCTGGTGTCTGCCTGCCTAGAGGACTGGTTTGCAGCTGCTGAGTCGTATTTAGTGTTTACTACAGGACTGAACTGCTGCCAAAGAAAATTAAGCTCACTTGCCCCCAAAGCACTATTGCTGAACAGGTCCACTTCCCCCACATCCTAAGAACTTTTCTCTTCCTCTGTCTCTGCTGGGTGGTGGGCTAGAGGAGAGATTGAACCGTTATTAAAAATAGGCTGAAAAAAGTTATGCCTATAGATACAGAGTCAAGGAATAGGTGCAGAAATATATTGTCAATTAGCGGTTCAAACTGATGTTGAAACAAATGCATGTCAACAAATCAGATTGTAACAATTTAATGAACATTAAAGGCACTGAAATACAAATTCTGATCTCTACCATGTGCCATGAACAAAATTTAACTTGTTGATCACAGACATTAAGTGTCAATGCTAGACATTAAGTGTCAATGCTAAAACTAGAAACGCTTTTTCTAGGGGAAAAATTACAGAAAATTCTTCACAACCTCCAGTTAAAAGCAAACCAAGTCTTAGATTTAATACCCTTAGAAGAATATATGAAGGATAACTTTAAAAATCAGCAATAAAAATTATCTGGATTATAAATAACCAAAAAACCTTTAAAACAAGAATATACAATTGATTGCTAGCAAGGGAGGATGAAAAATATTTACATATTTACAGTGACATGAAAAGAAGGGGGAGGAGAAATAATAATAATAATAAAATAGTCCTCTGGGACCTAGTTTGTGTTTCCTGCTGGCTGAGGGAAAAATGTCCTCAACAGAGCTGAAACCAAGAGTGCAGAGACGTTTGTTTTTCTTAGAGATGCCACGATGAGAGTGTTCAAAGCCACATGTGCAGCCAGGTGATGATGGTGCACTTCTTGGATCCCAGCACTCAGAGGTGGATCTCTGTGAGTTCGAGGCCAGCCTGGCCTACAGAGTGAGTTCCAGGACACCTAGAGCCACACAGAGAAACCCTGTCCGGAAAAAAAAAAAAGTTAACAAGCACACCACGCTTGTTCAGGGCCAGAGCATGGGACCTTTGAGTTCAGTGTCCCCCCCTGTCCTTCTGCCATTAGGCCTGAACAGAGTAGGGCACTTCATAGACCCCTTAAATTTTATTTATAAGAGAAAATTCTTTAAGAGAAATAAGGAAATCTGCCCATATAGTTAGTTTCTTAATTATTTTCCAATTTTCGCTTTATCTTTGAACATGGTTGCAAATTACATTCTATAAGAAATGTAACCTCAAAAAGTCATAGATGTAGTGTATAGAGAAAACAATTATAGTTAGGACACAAGGTCTCTCCTCTCTCTCTCTCTCTCTCTCTCTCTCTCTCTCTCTCTCTCTCTCTCATCACAGAGCTAGCTCTAACATGACAGAGTCTGAGGTAAGAGCCCTGAAACCACAGCCACATCCAGCACTTGCTCCTCCCCTGATGACATCCTTGCCAAGGTCACTGTCCTTTACCTGGCAAGGCAGTTTGCCCTCTGAAACTGACTAACCTTTGTCACTGCCAGGCAGAGCACAACTCAGGAGTAGTGTGGCCAAAGATGGTGACCCGGCAGAACACTTTAAAGTCTCTCAGATCCCCCACATATTTCACTGTGGCTCTCTTCTGGGGCAAGGGATCCCAAATGGGATTTGAAGAAAGGGCATTGGGAAGGTCAAACGAGAGGGGCTCTGAAAGCAGACGGGAATGAGATGAGCCGTCACCATGTCCTCAGGATGTCACAAGGTTAGCAAACACAGCAGTAAGATGGGGAAGACCACTGGATGCAAACAAGCAGCCTGGTTCACCACGGCAATTAGCCACTTGCTGTAGAAGGCAACGTCTGTATAAACTCCAGGATATCCTCGGCGACCACAACTGATGCCCCAGCTCACAACTCCTACCTGCACCCATCTGTTGTCCAATTCACAGGATAATGGGCCTCCAGAATCTCCCTGAAGAAAGAGAAACACATGGAGAGAATGGAATTGATCCCCACTGGGTTTGGCTAATTACACGGGAAGACACCTAGGAGACAGGCTCACACATGGTTTCTTTGGGCACCCCAAAGGTGCAGCCAGAGCCAAGTGCAGTACCATACACCTATAGTAAGTATCAGCCCTAGTGAGGGTGAGGCAGAATGATTTCAAGGAGTTCAAGCCTACTGGACTACATACTAAGACACTGTCTTGGAAAGAGGGGCGGGAGAAGCATCCTTGCCATGCCCAAGTTTCTATTAATACACAAATGCTGAAACTGGGTGTATACCTATGGCCACTGAAGAGTTAACGGGGAAGCATTAATATGTTCTGAGGTTATCTTCATCATTTCTCGAGCCACAGTGGTATTAAATTCTGAATTCCACTTCCGAGGAGCTGGAGACATGACTCTGTGGTTAAGAGCACTTGCTCCGTTTGTAGAGGATGCTGGATTAGTTGAGAACAGCCACATGGTGACCCACCCTTCCCTGTTGCTCCAGTTCTAGGGGACCCTACACTTTCTTCTGGCTTCTGCAGGGACTGTATGAACACGGTGCACACAAATACATGAAAGCAAATCACTCACATAAAATGAAAACAAATCTTTTTTAAAAAAAAAATCCCATTAAACATCATTTCTATGTAGCAGCTCCTTACATGTAATGCAGTTTCTCCCCTAACCTATACAGCAGGATCCTTGTGGATTATGGAGCCCATTTACGAATATTCTTCTCCCAAATCTGCTTCAGAGACCCTAACAATCACTTCAGTGAAAAAGACATAGGCTTCCAGGGGGTGCTGGAGAGATGGCTCAGCAGTTAAGAGCACTGACTCTTCTTCCAGAGGTTCTGAGTTCAATTCCCAGCAACTACATGGTGGCTCACAACCATTTATAATAGGATCTGATGCCTTCTTCTGATGTGTCTGAATTCAGCGACGGCGTACACATACACATTAAATGAACAAACAAACCATAGACTTCCTCAGTATCTCTTACCACCCCTAACTTCACATGAACTGATAGTTTTACCTCAGACTCACTTTCCTCACTGCTTGGTCACTAGACCCTGGTCAGAACTCAATGGCATCTTCTACACGCTCTGAAGATATTAGTTCGGGAATTACACATCCATGGGAGCCACTGATCTAAAAGGAAAAGCTGACCATGTTCACCCAGCCGAGCTTCCCATGTCTGCCTGGGCCACTCTGGAAACGGCCACATTCAGCCCTACTCTATTGCTCCAGGTATTTGAAACATCAGTGTCCTCTACCCAGTGCAGGGGTACAAACCCAGGGCTTCTTGTCCACTGCTTGTCACCTCCCATTCCTGAAATGGAGACAAGGTCTCACTACATAACCAAGACTCACCTCAAATTCACTATGTAGGCTAGTCTGGCCTTGAACTCTTGATCTTCCTACCTCAAACTCTTGAGTGCTGGGGTTACACGTATGTACCTCACACTTGGACAGCATAAGAAGTGCGCTCAGACCTCTGATCCCCTAAGCATATTGACCCCTATCTCTAAAAATAATATCACAAGAGGGCCTTCTGTTCATGTCTTTGGACTTCCACAGCAGTGTGATAGCTATGATGTTATGTTGCCAGGTTGTGATATAGGCTAACTGAGTCAACACGGGCTCATGTTCCCTTTGTCGTGGGAACTGCCACATAGGGGAACACGATGCAAAACTTTATTATATTACCCACCCCAACTTCAACACATGAACACATAAACCCCACACATCCACCTACACAGGTCCTTTAGAGAAGACCAAACCAGCTGGACACGGTGATGTCGCCCTGTAATCTCAATGCTTGGGAGGTTGATGCAGGCCGATCTCAAGTTCAAGGCTACCCTGTGCTACACAGAAAGATCGGGTGAGGCCAACTCCTGGAGCCATGGGGTGTCAGGGCTCTCCCAATGAATTTTCTTGAGTGAAAGAGTTAGCAAATACCTCAGGCCTTGACATCTGAGGCTAAGGAAGGAGCCCATGAACTTACCTGGCAAGCATCCTTTCCCTGTTCTTTATAGGCACAGATCATGCCTCTCTTAACTATATCAGTAGAACGCGATGTAGCTTTCTTCAGCATCTCATTACATTCCTCGTAAAGGATGACATTTTGCTCCACCTCCTGGAGAATTTCTGTTGGAACTTCTGGTGCTAATAAAAAAGATCAGCAGTGTATGAATCTGCTCAGTGGAGAACAAGCACTCAAACAGCCAAGAATTCCTCTGGACAAAGGCAGGGAAATTAATATTGCCCCCATTTGACACAGACGAAACTGAGACTAAAAGCTGTGATAGGAAAAAATTGAGTAACAGGTAGAACTGAGCCAGGCCTAATGGCCTAAGTCTGTAGGTCCATGGGAGGCCAAGGCAGGAGAACCTCAAGTGCAAGGCCTGCCTGGGCTACAGTGTGAGTCCAAGGCTGTCTTGGGCAACTTAGCAAGACTCTGTCTCAAAACAAAAAGTAGAAAGGGCTGTGAATATAACTTTGTGCTAGAGCCCTTCACTAGCTTGCTTAAGGCCCTGGGTCCAATTCTCATACTTAAATGGGAAAAAACTAAGACAAAGGAAGGGTGATGTTTCTGAAGGGGAGGCAAGGCCTTAGAGGATCAAGAAATGACAGCCCACCAAACTCATTACTGATGTCAGTGTGGTAGAGAGGAGATAGCCTGGGCAAATAATAGAGAGGAGATATACTGTGAGTCTTTTATTTTTTGTTTGTCAGTGAGATAAGGTCTTTACATAGCCATGACGAGTCTCAAACTGTCTATACTTCTGCATGGAACACCACACCCAGCCAATTTTCTTCACTTTCTAGAACATGATCACAGGCTCTCGAGAGAGAACTCTAAAAGGTATCACGTGTGACTTCTTCTCACGGATAAGAAGCATACCAACAGAGAGATCTGTGGCTCACCCAGTTCCTCTAGGAACAAGGAACTCCATAAATACCAAGACAGGGACTTCCATTGAGAAGCTGGCCAGCAGCTCATCGAGCAGTGAGGAAAAATCCACTCAAAGTACTGGGCAGATGGCTCAGCAGTTAAGAGCACTTATTCTTTCAGAGGACCCAGGTTCCTCCCTCAGCTTGTGGAGACTCATAACTCATAACTCCAGCCCCAGGGCCCCTGACACCCTCTTCTCTGCAGGTATCAGTCAGGCATTTGGTACACAGACATACGTGAAAGCAAAACACTCATAACACACCAAACAAAATAAATCAGATCTAAATATCCACCCAGGAGAATTGCATCGCATCTGGCCTTTGTCCACAGGGAATGTAGCAATTCCTATAACCACTCAGCACATTGCCCCACAAATCTGCAAAAGGAGATTGGACATAATTCCAGCTCCCAGGAGAGAGAGATACCTTTTGTGGGCTGTCATCATATGTGCTGTGACAAAAGACTTCAATACAAGATCAGGGATCACCTAATCTGACCATTACCTTGACTCGTGCCAAACTGCCTGCCCCTCACCCCCCTGCCAAGGAGTCTGCCTTCCTTTTTGTGCCTCTCGAGATCTTTTGTTTCTACCCTAGGAATAAAGCCGAACTTCCTTCTGAGCGCCAAGTCTTACCACCTGGATCTGGTTTGCCCCATCCTGTGACCCAGCATTTGGTTCCAGCTTTAACATGAAAAGTCTCTGAAGGGATGCAGACAGGATAGATGTTAGCGGTGAAATTCACGGGGTGTCGGAGCTTGAGAAGGGCAATATCATTTTTAACCACGATTGCTGTTGAGAACTTTGGGTGGACAAAGATGTTCTGTATGGGAATCACCAGACTTGTGTTTTGCCGGTAGACGCTCCGATCGCCCATCTTGACGTTGTATTCGATTCGGCTGTGGAAAAAATGCGTTGCCTCGTTAGCCATGATCCTACCAAGCTCTCTCATACCCTTTCCACTCTTTCCAATCTCTTTTGCTACTCTCTACCATCCTGTCTCTGTCACTGAAACTCTAGTAATCTCTCAATTATTTTGCCTGTGTCACACCCCAAGTATTTCTAGTAAAAAGATGGTCATAGCATGATCACTCCTCTTCTTTTGTTTTGTAATGTTTTTTTGTCAGGCAGGTAGATTAGACAGCATGGTTTCCCTCCAGAATCCTCCCCATCTCTCCTCACCTGTAAATACAATGGGCTGCAGTAAGCACCCATTGGGAATTGATGAGGGAACCTCCGCAGACGTGCATGTGTCTGACCCGAACGCTCACCTGCCAGGGCCACTTTCCCTCTTCAGCGTCCACCCCTCCCATGATCTTCATAAAGGGCTGGCCACACACTGAGTGAGGACGAAAAGAACTCATAAGAGTTAAGTCCTCTCTACATGCTAACGCACCACATGCCCCAACGATAGCCAAGAAGGAAGCTATGTCTTGTTGAACACCACACCACGGATACTTCATACCCTCAAGGCCACCGTGTCATACACACCCCATGGCAGTCAAATCCCCCAGAAGCCACAGGCAAGGCAACCAGACTCTACGCAACAGCGCAACAGCGGCCTGAGCTACACCCGTGTCTCTCAGATTCAGGGTGTCATTAACTCCAACTCTGGGCCTTGACACAGTCTTCATCTTGCCGCAGACAACCCTTAACAAATTACCTAAGGAAAACATCGCGAAAAGAGAGCGGGTGGTAGGCCTCTTGGTCGTGCGCACCTTAGTGGGTAGCGGTGGGTTTTCTCTAGGAGCTTCAGTGAGCCCCGAGGAGAAACTGGTAGTAGAGTGTACAGAGGCAGCTGCCCTGGCCTCACAGGGCTTTGGCTGAAGCAGCAAGAGGCAGGCTATGAGGCCCAGGGAGCCACCTCCGGACGCCATGCCACCACGTAGGCCACCCCCCTTCTCCCAGTAAGGTGGCACCCGCTCGCTCCCCAGGCTCACGTGGCCACCCTCGGTTCTGTCAGGAGAAACGGGCTCTCCGAAGGACTGCAGGAGGCGCCAGTGAGTCAGGCATCAGTGGAGGGTCATGGCTTCTGCTTTCATTCAGTTCATGACAGACTGAGCACACCCCAGCCTGGGACCGAGGAGCCAGCCATCGTTGAAGGAGACCTCCCAGTTCAGGATCTTTACTTCCTGTGGAGCCTGGCGTAAAACTGGTAACGACAGAACTCTGGGAATGAGAGGGGAAACCCTAGGTCTCAAAAAAGGCACCTCAAACTGGGATTTAGTCACTCGACTTCTACTTGTAGGCTATCCTTCTATCTCAGCTATGGGACAAACTGAAAGAAAATTAGCACTGCCCAGGCCTAGAGAGATGGCTCACTGTTTAAGAGCACTCAGTGCTCTTGCAAAGGACTGCTATTCAATTCCCAGCATCCACATGGAGACGCACACCATTCTTAACTCCAGTTCCAGGGGATCCAGTGCCCTCCTCCAGCCTCCGTGGGCACCAGGCATGCACATACATACAGGCAAAATACTCAGACGCAGGAAATAAAAGTAAATCTATGTTCTTACGTTAACCACCAACAAAGATACCCGTAAGTATTCCTACTACTCTATGTCCCTGATGTCTTCTGTGGTAACTCATGGTTTTCTCTTCGTTGCCCAGAAGCTCAGGGCCTCTGATCCTGGGCATCATCATCCCTGTTGTAGTCGGAGGATGGAGGGACAATAATAGCAGCCCGTGACTTTCTGTGTGGAGGAGCTAAGGTGGGAAGAGTTAGGAGAGGAAGAGGAAAAGGAAGAGGAGGAGCTGGAGAGAGCAGAGATGTAGGAGGATGGAGAACCACACAGGTATGGAGAGCACTCTTGGGGAACAACTTATAAACTTATAATTAGGTTAGCTAATTGGGATACAACTCTCTTTGTATGGGCATCTTGTTATTAATCATTATCAAACATATAAAGCCTTTGATTAATCTGTAAGAATTAGAGCCTCATTCTCTTACTGGGCCCGCATGGATGGCGGAATGGTCTGGGCAATGCCCAGCCTTGCAAAGACAGTGTGGAAGATTGGCAAAGCCATCTCCCCTGCTGGCGTCTCCTGGGTGGTAGGGCTAGTGTTTCTGGTGGGCCAGTTCTAGCTGCTGTGCACACATGGCCTCCAGCTGAGAAACATGGTGGCTAGGCTAGGCAGATCCACTGCAGCTTAGATAGTCGGCATGACCGGAGGCCATTTTAAATAATTACCACAACATCTGTGCTTCTCTAGTGTCCCTAGCTGAAGGAGGAGAGCCGGTGCATTTTTCAAGGTTGATGCTACTCCACTCTCTTCATTAATTTATGCTTCAGTGTCTTGGTGTGGTGGTTTGAATAAGAATGGCCCCCATAGACTCCTGTGCGTGAAAGCTTGTCCCTTAGGGAGTGGTACTATTAGGAGGTGTGGCCTTGTTTGGAGGAAGTGTGTCAATGTAGGGGCGGGCTTTGAGAGCTCCTAGGCTCAAGCTATGCCCAGTGTGGCTTGCAGTCACTTCTGCTGCCTGCAGATCAAGATGAACAACTCCCAGCTCTTCCTCCAGCACCATGTCCGCCTGCACGCTGCCAGGATTCCCACCACGATGAAAATGAACTAAACCTCTGAAACCGTAAGCCGACTCCAGTTAACTGTTTTCCTTTATAGGAGCTGCTGCGGTCATGGTGTCTCCTCACAGCAATGGGAACCCTAACTAAGGCATTTGGAAAAGGGGCACATTCTTTAGGGTGCTCTTTCAGTCATAAGAGGAGAGGGAAAGCAGGTTATCCATTCCAATAGTTGCACCTCCACCCACCAGAAACCCTCTGTTTTCTAATGGTTTCTTTTTAAGACAGGGTATCTCATGTATGCAGAGAAGCCTCTCAACTCTCTGTGTAGCCAAAAGTGACCTAGAACTTCAGATCCTCCTGCCTGCACCTCCCAAGTACTGGAACTATAGGCAGGTGCCACCACACCAAGATTATGCAGGGAGATTTTTAAAAATTAAAAAACAAACAAAAAGCACTGGGTGGGTGGCACATCCCTTTAATCCCAGCACTTAGAAGGCAAAGGCAAGATGATCTCTGAGAGTTCAAGGCCAACCTGGTCTATGGAGAGTGCTCTAGGACAGCTAGGGCTACACAGAGAAACCCTGTCTCAGGGAGAAACAAAACAAAACAAAACAAAACAAAACAAAACAAAACAAAACAAAACAAAACCACCCAGGGTTCTGTGCATGCTAGGCAAGCCCTCTTACCAACTAAGCTACAAGACCAGCACAGCGAAGAACTTCTAACATTTTGTGGAAAGCTCCAAGAGTTATCCCCACCTGTTTGAACCAACAAACTGAGCTTCTGGTAAGCATACTCTCAATATGGGCTTAAGTCATAGCTACTTAATAGTACTTAGTAGTACTCAAACCCATGTGAATTCTCTTTGTAAGGAAGCTTTTTTCCCCCTCCTGCCTCATACTTTGGACCTGTCCTACCTAGAACATGCTGGGATGTGATTCTGGCTACTCGATCCAGAGACAGTGAAGGCTAGTTCAAGTGGTACAGAACCCAAATTGTCAATTCTTTATAATGTAACTTCTTCAAGTAAAGTTCTGACATCTCAAGATAAACAAGGCAAGACCTATCAAATGAACCGGTGAGGCTGGCTGCTTCTATTATCAAGAGAGGTTTGATGCAGCTAAGAGGTCAGGAGATCACAAATTTGCCCAAATGTGACCCCACTTAAATTGTCTTCCCTTTCCCCAAATCAGTGCCTTATCTCTCGTGTAAGAAGCTGGGAAGCTGTTCATTTGCCTTCAAACTGAAGCAACCTCAAAGATTAAACACTAAACAATCTATTGCAGCTACATCGATGGTGCGATTGTACGAAACAAGAAAATACTTCAGAGCCTTTTAATCATAAGGTTAGAAATCATAGAACCTTTTAATCCAAGAGGGTAAGTCAGAGATTCCCAGTCAGTCAGATTGCTCAGAGGGTGGGGGCACTTGCCATGTAAGCCTGACCACCTGAATTGAACCCCCGCAACCCACGCTAGAAAGAAATATGCAACTCAGAGTTTTCCTGAGCTCCACACATACTCACATACTTCTGTACATGTGTGCGCGAACACACACACACACACGCTTGGGTTTGAACCTAGTGCCTCATGTGTGCTAGGTAAGTGCTCTCTACCACTGAGCTATAGACCCTCTGTGTCAGGCTCAATAAATTGTCTTTAATATGTAAAAGACAGGGGGACATGGCCTACTGTAAGACTTTAGAACGTCTAGGAGCTGCAGATCCAAAGTAAATTTGCACCTTTTCATAGGCCTTTCTTCATAAATTTCCATCAAGTGTTTATGAGAAAGATTAGAGGCAGGGCAAAGGACCAAAGAAAGCCTTGCTTAGGATGTGGTTAAAGAGGGCGAGCAAGAGTGAAACACTGTACAAGAGGAACGAAGCCAGGCTCAGAGCCTGCGACTCTTTCTCACCCCGGCCCCACCCCTCCAAAGAAAGCCTCGTACTAAGAGGAAGGAGGATAAAAAAACCTAACCGGGGGCCATGTGGTAGTAGGGTGAAGACAGCATGAGATAACCTGTGCTAGGAGACCCCATCATTATCTGCCCCAAACATGCACCTGCCTAAGGAGGTGGCTCTTAGAAGTAAAGAGTGTCCAAGAACACACACACGCCCTGCTGAGTGTCCAAGAACAAGTAATAGCAATCTGCTGCTGGCAGAGTAGTTTACGGAAATGTGGAAAAGTCACCTCTCTGAGGCAAGGAGAGAATGCTAGTGACTTACAGTGGAATAGACACCAAGAAAAACTCAACAGCTCTCCACCCACTGGTATAAGCTAATTACTACTAATAATAATAATGATAATAATAATAGAATTTGAAATCTGTACTTAAGAGAGTATCCATGGCAACACGAAGTCTCATTTGATTATATCAATACTTCTCACTACAGAGAAGACATAGTCAAAGCTGGGAGTGCAGCTCAGAGGTGAAACTTTGCCTGCCATGTATAAGACCCAGCACCACAGGAAAAGGAGGGAAGAAAGGAGGGGGAAAGGGAGGGAGGGAGGGAAGAAGGATGGGAAGGAGGGATGGAGGGAGAAAGAGAGGAAGGGAAGGAGGGACAGAGCAAAAAGCTAACTGACTAGAGGAGCCTAGGGTTCATCTCATACATATGTTTTTAGTTTTATTTTATTTTTTTATTATTTTTTTATTTTTATTTTTTTAGGTTTTTCGAGACAGGGTTTATCTGTATAGCCCTGGCTGTCCTGGAACTCACTCTGTAGACCAGGCTGGCCTCGAACTCAGAAATCTGCCTGCCTCTGCCTCCCAAGTGCTGGGATTAAAGGCGTGCGCCACCACCGCCTGGCATACATATGTTTTTAAAAAGAACAATGGACAAAGAACTGTACCTCAAGCATAGTGGTGCACGTCTTTAACCCCAGCACTTTTGAGGCAGAGGCTGGTAGATCTCTGTGAGTTCAAGGCCACAGAAACCAAGCAACAACAAAAAACAGAAAGGTAATGGAGGGGAAAAAAGACAAAATACAATTTTTTCTCTTTTAGGCTGAATCTTGATTTAAACAGATACGCCAAGGATGTGAAAAGCAAAGACTGACTATTGGAGGGGGGGGGGGATGAGTGGGAGGTGAGGGAGAGAGGATCATGGAGAGACAGGAAGAAGGGATGGTGGAAAGCAGCATGCTGATAAAAGCAAAGCCCAGCGATACATATGCATGAAAATATCATAGTAAATGAGAACAATTCTTCTTTATGCTAACTAAAACTACTTCTTAAAAAAATACAATCTTTTTCTTTTGAATTTTGTTTGGGAGACAGGATCTCACTGTGTAGTTCTGGCTATCCTAGAACTCTATATTGACAAGGCTGGCCTCAAACTCACAAAGATTTGCCTGCCTC